AGAGAGAAAGAAAGAAAGCGAAGAAAAGAAAGAAAAAAGAAAGAAAAGAACCATGATCCTGCAGGCTGGAACAAAGCTGGGGTTTCCTACGACTGCCTCCTCAGCCCAGGGGAGGGGAATATTTTCAAAAGTTTCAGTGGTGTAAGTGGAGACACTTTTAGAAACTTCTGCCAACTCCTCTCCTTCTGCCCACTGATGTAGCCTCCCCCACACTCTCTCCCAAAACTACCTTCATAATGATTGTGTCTGATCCTGCAGCAGCTACGTTGGCTGGTTTTTTGTTTTGTTTTGTTTTGTTTTGTGAGATGGAGTCATGCTGTGTCACCAAGCCTGGAGTACAGTTGCTCGTTGCTCGATCTCAGCTCACTGCAACCTCCGCCTCCTGGGTTCAAGTGATTCTCCTGACTCAGTCTCCTGAGTAGATGGGCTACAGGTCCCCGCCACCACATCTGGCTAATTTTTGTATTTTTTGGTAGAGATGGGGTTTCACCATGTTGGTTAGACTATTCTCAAACTCCTGACCTCAGGTGATCGCCGTCCACTTCAGCCCCTCAAAGTGCTGGGATTATAGGAGTGAGCCACTTCACCAGGTGCTACTTTCATCTGTCAGCTCATTTAATCCTTGCACACCCTGGGAGGGAGGCACTTAGTGAGGAACGGTCTCAGAGAGGGTTCATGATTTACCTAAAATTACACAACTCACAGAAGCAAGAGTCAAAACTTCCACTAGCATTTAAGCCTCACGATGGCAGGGTTCGCTTTTCTCTGCTGTATGCTTTGTGCCTAGATTAATTGAGGGATTTTTTTTTTTTTTTTTTTTTTGGGAATCAGCCTCACTCTGTCGCCCAAGATGGAATGCAGTGGCACATTCATGGCTCACGGCAGCCTCAGCCTCCTGAGCTCAAGCAATCCTCCCACCTTAGTCTCCCAAGTAGCTGGGACTACAGACACACACCATCATGCTCAGCTAATTTTTTTAAATTTTTTTGCAGACATAGGGTCTCACTATGTTGCCCAGGCTGGTCTTGAACTCCTGGGCTTAAGCAATCCTCCCACCTCAGCCTCCCAAAGTGCTGGGATTACAGGCATGAGCTGCCACACTCCAGCCCCTCATGCCTAGAACAGTGACTGGCACACAGCAATCACTCAAGAGCTGTGTTCCAAATGAATGAATGAACTCCAG